CAGCAGCAGCAGCAGCAGCAGCAGCAGTAGTAGTAGTAGTAGTAGTAGCAGCAGCAGTAATAGCAGCAGTAGTAGTAGTAGTAGTAGTATCGGTACAGATACTACTACTACTACTGCTGCTGCTGCTGCTGCTGCAGCTGCTGCTGCTGCTGATGCTGCAGCAGGAGAATTAATAGGGACAGATAATAAACCTTCTGCTGCTGTCTTTGCTAAACTCCAACAAAGAAGGAGACAATTCATGGGAGGAGGTAATTCCTGCTGCTGCTGCTGCTGTTGCTGCTGCTGCTGCTGCTGTTGCTGCTGCTGCTGCTGCTGTCGCTGTTGCTGCTGTTGTTGTTGTTATTGCTGCTGCTGCTGCTGCTGTCTGCCAGCAATTGTTTGTCTCGTTGCATGCATGCAGATATTTTATATATTAATTTGTACATAATTAATTAAATTAATTAATTAATTAATTAATTAATTTATTTATTTATTTATTTATTTATTTGTTTATGTGTATAGATTCCTTACAAGACATATTAGAGTTTTATACATTTTGTGGTGCAAATCCATCAACGTCAATAGAGAGGCAGCAACCAGCAGCAGATGCAGCAGCAGCAGCAGCAGCAGGAGGAGGAGGAGGAGGAAGAGGTGCAGCAGCAGCACCTGCTGCTGCTGCTGCTGCTGCTGAGCAGGAAGCTAATGATAAACATATAAGCAGCAAAGATTTAGAGGTTGACCCTGAGGAAGAAGACATGCGCCTATTTGGCAGCAAAACAGCAGCACCTGCTGCTGCTGCTGCTGCAGCAGCAGCAGCAGCGCATGCAGCATATATTGTACGGCCAGATCTTGATTATCTTGTTGCTTTCCGTCCTGAGTTCTCAGCTATATACCATCCTGTACTCCTGCAGCAGCAGCAGCAGCAGCAGCAACAGATGCTGCAGCAGCAGCAACCTTATGATGCAGCAAGAGGAACAGCAGCAGATGCTGCTGCTGCTGCTGCTGCTGCTGCTGCTGTCCCTATGTTTGCCCCTCCTAAGATTCTTTGCGATCTTCTTGCTTTGTTACCACAAGTTACCGGCAAATTAAGTACGTCTTTTTTTTTTCTTTTTTTTTCTTCTTTCTTCTTTTATTATTTATTTATTTATTTATTTATTTATTTATTTATTTATTTATTTATTTATTTGTTATTGTTTATTGTTTATTTATTCAGCTTTGCGTTTTCTTTTTATTTGTTTGTTTGTTGTATCCCTTTACCTCCTCTAACCACCACCACCACCACCAACAGCAGCAACAGCAGCAGCAGCAGCAACAGCAGCAACAGCAGCAGCAGCAGCAGCAGCAGCAGCATATGTTGTGTATGTGCTCAGGTGCTGATCCTGACTTGGTGGATTATTTGATGGCAACATTACAAGCAACAGAGTTGCCTTTGTTGCCATCCCTGCAGCAGCAGCAGCAGGAGCAGCAGGAGCAGCTGCAGCAGCAGCAGCAGCAGCAGCAGCCGCTGCAGCACCGACCTGTCGTTATAAAGGACTTGTTGGCTTTGCGGCATTCACAGCTGCAGTGTCTGCATGCAATGAGGATGCATAGTGTAAGTCTTGCATGCATGTATGCATGCATGCATGCATGCATGCAAGTAGCAAGCAGCAGGACTAAACCCTAAACCCTAAACCCTAAACCCTAATTAGTGTTTTATATATAAATAAACCCTAATTAATCCCTATAAAATAAAAACACCAAAAGAAAGAGAAAAGAAAGACAAGAAGAAATAATAAACACAAACATGCATGCATATATTTATATATTTATATATATATTTATATATATTATTGTGTATATACAGGAGGGTTTAATGGAGGAAAGAAGAGAAATAGATGATGATTTATCTGATGAATCATCAGAGGAATTAAATCGTCCTCCTGTAGCTAGCCAGCTAGCTAGCCAGCTAGCTGCAGCAGCAGCAGCAGCAGCAGGTAGTAGTCAGCTAGCTGCAGCAGCAGGTAGCCATTTATCAAGCAGCAGCAGCAGCAGTAGTAATAATAATCAATTATCTGCTGCTGCTAATCAACAACTTGCTGCTGCTGCTGCTGCAGATTATACAAGAAATAATACATTAGGTGCAGGAGCAGCAGCAGCAGCAGCAGGTATGCCGCTAACACCAGCTGTATACGGAGGGGCCCCCCTTATGCTTGCTGCTGCAGCTGATAGTATGCTGGTGCAAAGAAGATTACTTCCTCCTGCTGCAGTATTACCAGGTGTACGTGCAGCAGCAGCAGCAGCAGCAGCAGCAACTGTATGGCCAGGTGTATTAGCAGGTCATTACCCTCCCCCTGTTGGGGCCCCTGTGGGGGCCCCCCAGCTGCATGCAGCAGCAGTACCCATACCCTATAGTATGTCTATGCCCACCAGGGGGGCCCCCCTGCCCCTAGTTAGGCAGCCCCTGCATGTATGGAGGGTACCGGACCCCTCTAATAGTACGAGGGCCTACTCCTCTAAGAAAAAAAATAGATAAATAAATATATTTATTTATTTATTTATTTATTTATTTATTTATAATGAATAAATAAATATATTTATTTATCTATTTATTTATTTATTTATAATAAATAAATATTTATTTATTTATTATATATATATACATATATATATAATAATGTACATATATGTATATATATGTATGTATACATATATATGTATATATATGTATATGTATATATATGTGTATTTTATATACAAAATATTTACTTATTTTCTTATTTATATTATTTATATGTTTTCTTTCCTCTTTTTTATATAACATTTTATTCTTATTATATATATAATAGAATAAAATAATTTTATATATATATA